ATTCGCTTGATCACATCATATTCATAACATCATTATAAGTCATTTTGTTAGATTTATTAGTAAAGTACACTTAAGTCAGCTGTGTACTTTGGGCACAATACACCAACATTGTATATGATGTGTAGCTGTCTTGCCTGTGTTAGATAAGATAACAACCACTTAATCATAATCACTTTAAGCGAAATACTTGACACTAATTCAAAAAAACTGAATATATCTGAGTTAGTTATCAGTTGATGGGATAAATATGTATGTGCAATTCAGACGTTGACACATAAGTGGAATAAAGTCTACTTTACTTAAACGGCAAAAAGGAATTGTTGTTTATTGTGTACTTCCCAATAACATTTAATATTATCTCATGATTCCTAGAATAATGCCATCAATCAAAATAATATCGTGAGGTCACTAAAATAACAGATCATTTGATTGCAATATCAATACTAGAAGTATATTGATACTATGTATGGCAATGCATTATGGGATAGAACTTCTCATATTGTATAAATTACCATGCACCTACGTGAACTCAACGGAGGTGTGGGTTGATATATGGAGTGGGCTACGAGATGATGATTTGGTTTGTTTAGGCATAGTTCCACTACTGAGCATGTTACTGCGCATGTAGGCAATGCAATATGGGATCGAACTTCCATTGTATCCAATAGGAAAAATATCAAATTAAAAACTCACTATATTAAATTAAATTAAGTTAAAATGTATTTAAATGTTTTAAAATTATTAGGATTTACATCAATATTAATATAATATAATATAAGATTTATCATCTCATGTCACGGTCACCAAGCAAAATTTCAAGTTATGAAAAATTGAAATATTTTCATAACATTTTGTATACTTCTGGCATTAACCTATACTAACAAAAGCAATTTAATTTGTAATTCGGTCGGAACCTTTTAGTTGATATAATAAATCGATGTTGTAAAATGGGAGTGCTTTAAATTATATCCATTATCTCCGTTTTTTGATCTTCAGGGATCAGGTTCAAACTTAAGTAGCTCTTAGAATTTTGAAGTGTTCACACTACATATGTGATGTGTTATCTGTGACTTACAGGTATTTATCTCAGACAGTGGCGCCAGAAATATAGTATATATACATTTGACGCCAGACATCTTTCATATAACATCACTCAACGTTTTTTTTTTTTTTCGTTTTTTTTTGGTTGCCAAAAAACGAATGACATTTCATCTGGGAGTAGGGAAAAATAAAGTGTTATTTCCATTTTTTTGCGTTTTCAGACAGTGTATTACAGTATATCATAATAGTATTATGCACATAAGCATTATCAGGTTCATACATTATCACAAAGCATCATGGAGATCTGATAATATAGTTTATATAATACAAGTTGTTCTCGGTGTTTAGCAATAACAGTTTACCAAAAAACAAGTACATAAATATAAAACCGAAATATAAAAAGATAAGTTTACACAAGGAAAGCTTTATGAATATAGTATGAAGCATTAATTAATGTATTCATGGTATTAGTGAGTATCAGGTATATAAATTTGCATATTTAATAATTTGTGATGGGCAATTAATTTAGGAAAATTTGGTCTTGGAGAGAACTCCATTCGAAAATATTATCTTCCACATCCTGTCATGATTGGTGTTTTGGTGTGCGTATATCTGCCACTTTCAATATACAAACTGAGTATAGTCTAAATTGAGTCTGCGCAGTGATAACGTTGCATTCGTCATCGTATATTCCGTGTATACCTGATAGTACATGAAATACTTATTTGGATTTTCAAGCCTCAAGTGACTTGCGATGTTCGCCATATATTTAAGTTCATGTTTCTTGTGTTTTAGTTAGTCTGCTTAATACAGAAATCGGTGCCTAAAATGTTTCGTTTGTGATACTCTTGAGGTCATGGACGCTAGGCGGATTTCATAATATCGGAGTGGTTAGTATTTCAACATTTCAAACCATCAAAACTGTTATCGAACGACAAGTTGACAGTCATGGACACTTTTCAGGATAACTATACACTTACTCTCACAACGTACGAATCCAAAAGTACCGACTTGTGAGGTTTATTTAAGAAACAGTTTTGTTTTCACTTCTCTGCTAAAAACAGTACTATAAACAGTGTGAAGAGTGACAAAATACAACTGTACGGAGAGGAAAAATATTAAAAAAGAATTAATTAATTAAAAGAAAGTAAACTGTCATCTCGCTCACAACACCCTGTTTTCTGATGCCTAATACATTTATTCACATTCGTATAATTTTTGTATAATTCGTATCCCAGTGATTTTAATGCTTACTATACATCACACAAATTTTAGTATCACAGGAAAACGAACCACGTCTCTTTCCCTCTCAGGCCCTCGGTATACGAGGTAATAGTAGTACCCACGTAGTAGTACCTGCCAGTATAAACTTGGGGAGGGAATAACCTGGCAATATGCCATTTCTGTTACATTTATTTCCAATTCATACAATTTATTATCCCCAATCCCAAAATATTATAAATTCATCATTCAACAAGCCAGTGGCTTCATTAATTGATCAGTATAGAGTTGAAACGGGTGTGATAAAAAATCATCGTAATTTCGTGCGTAGAGTTTCAACATTTCTCGCAGACAACCGTTGACATTAACATGTGAAATTCCACACACTAATAGTGTGGATGAATGATGAGAGAGGAGAGGAGGATTTAGCAAATTAGTCTAGAGTACCATATGCATCCCGTGTCATGATGTTAATATGATTATGTCTGGTAGTTGAGGCATTTTATATACACATATGTTTCATTGGTTTTCGGGTGTACGTGATGTGTCCGTAGAACCATTGCACCGGTGTTGGTATACCTACGTTCACTATACTGCCTCGCCTCCATGTGATGTGATATATGCGTTAGTTTGAATATACGCGTCACTCCTTCCAGCTTTTAATCATAGTGACACTAGATTGGTATTGGACATTACTGTTTTTTACTCATCTGCATTGTATTATCATCTGGTCACGTGACATTTAACCACATTTTACTTTCTTAACTTAACAAATCAATCAAAAGATTACTCTGGGCTACAGTAATACGTTCATCAACAATTACAACAGTCACTCAACAGTCGATCTAGTTTGTGATTAGGAATTTCAGAAAATATATGGATGATGGCTAAGTGCATTCTCTTGTAGCGTATGATTCAATCAATCTGAAAATGGTGGCAATACAAGTATGAAAAAGATTGTCCGAGTAGACACAATATGAAGCCTATCATGGTCCTGGCAGGGGTGTACTGAGAAGTTCACATTTTTAAATAAATATTATTCACTCATCACTTACTGAAAATGTCATGGTATTGTAGTCTTTGATTGCATTTATTTGGTGATATCCAGTATGTTGTAGTATAATAGTAGAATAATTAACTCTTTTCTAGCGCCACTTAATACATTACGAACCAACAACCACTGTGTTTGTTGGTGCCTTTATGATAATTATTCACAATGATTATATTTAAATAATAACACATGCTTGTGAGGTTAATATCACGATTTGTTATGATCATGAACAACAGCCCGAGGGCAGACAACACATCTTGCTATTGCTCGAATAACCATGTGTTATTTATTTTATCACATCGAACAGACATCAACCATCCACAATACACATTTACCATACATCACCCACACCCACTCTCCCACAAAATAACAACACTTATATTTGAAAATATGCAATATTTTATTTTATCTATTATTATAACAAGTTTCACATTACTCAATAACATAATACATTGTTTGCTAAAAAAACTGCGAAATACACACAGTAAATGTTATTTTTAGCCACGGATACTCTTTGTAGTAACCGTGTTTCAGTAGTGTGAATCACTCAATTTATCGTGTATAACATTTTTGAAATGAATTGAGAATTTCTCAAACGCAAGGTATTTGATCACTCTACAGATAAAAATGTCAGAGTGCCGCGGAAGTGACTGGAATTACTTTCTCACTAAAGTACCACATTCATTCACACGTCACGCAGCTTTAGAGCGTAGAACGCGCCACAGCGACCTCGGCTTTGTCGTACATTATTGCTTCATATAAAAAAAAATACCCTAAACACCAAAACAGATCTTACTTAATATCCATTCTGACACGAAGTATAGAATTTTCCTTTTTATCTATGCTTTCTCTCAACCATATTTGACAGCACTATTATACAAGCGTTGATCGCCATCGCTTAATCATTAGTTCACAATTGTTTTTTGTTAAAAAAAACTACAATTTTCAAAATATCTCAAAACCGATAGTATAATCATATTTTCATAATCATCCTATTTTAGGTATTGACCAAAAATAAATCTCAAGTGTTTATTGATAAGAACGTCAAAGTTGAAATCATTTATCTGAATATTAAAATGTATTCATTTAAGTCAACGACGACAATCGGTTAGTCAAATTAGCGTACTATTATTTACGCCGTGAGCTGTACAAGTGACAAAAGAGAAGGTGTACGTACATAAATATATTTTAAAAACTATTAGTTTCTAAATTATAAGTCTAAGGCACACAGCACGTTCGCAAATATGCGTTCTTCTTTATTTATACACTTCTGTGCCAATCAGCTCAGTTAGGTAAGACATTATATTGTTACTGAACACTACGCAGACACCGAGTTAGATACTATCAACGATAATTAGATATTCGATGTCACTGTACTTAAAACGAGTAGATATTGTGAGTGAATCTCGAGAGATCCAAACCTTGTTAGTCACTCAATATACACGTTAACAATGTAATCTGAAATTATCCCTTGTGACCTGACTGGATTCTGGATTGAATATCTGCAAATACTAGTAAAATGATAGCTCGATTATTGCCATATAAGCATACTTTTACTCTTAGTTTTCTAGTTCGAAATAACGCAAAATTGGTAATATATTTTCACTCGGCCAGAGTGTTGAATTACTATAGTAAATGGAAGCCATTTCGCCGTCTCACTATTTAATTTATATTTTTTTAATTGTAGATACTACGTGATTCACCATCCTATGAAGCCTCGATTACAGAAAAGAACAGTACTTGTGGTCACGCTTGGTACATGGCTGTTATCGTCCTTAGTAGCCTTACCTACGCCTTTGTTTACAACGGTATCCAGTGGCTACGATAGAGATGGGCGTCTTATCCACTACTGTGGCGAATACTGGTCTAACAGGCTGGCCTCGAGGGCCTACATCGCGTTCCTCACAGTGACGGAGTATCTTGTTCCCATGACGATACTGACGTTCGCATACTGCAGCATTGTGAGAAAGGTCTGGTTTCACCAGATGCCAGGCGCCACCACCGGCCGCAATCGCGATATTGCAGGCGAACGCAAAAAGAAAACCATACGAATGTTGATTCTCGTAATGATCTTTTTTGGTATCTGCTGGGGACCTTATTACATCTACAACTTATTGATCCATTTCAACGAAGATATTCTGTCAGACGACAGAAACAACATGACCATGTTTTATATTGTTGAAAGCATCGCCATGAGCAACGGTCTACTCAACACCATTGTATATTTCCTCATGAATGATGCATACCGCAAGGAATGCTGGGACATGTTGGCAGTACTTTTCAAAGTCAAGAAAGGGCTTGCCAGAAGAGGAAACCTGAGTGTAGTCACCACCACGAGGACATCCGCAAGAAGTAGCTTTCTAAATACAAGAAATTCTCGGTTGGGTAGAGTAAACATTCACTAGAAAATGAATATATTAAATATACGAATATGGTACTATTCTGTGAATACACATGAGAAATTCACAAATAAATCACGTCATATAAATGGACAACATTAATATGTCTTTACGATTAAGACAATATTTTTTTTCTAAGATTGTATTTGTGATCCAACAAATAAGCACGTTTCCAATTGTTTGCTTTCTCACAAAAGTAGATTGGAAATCAGGACATCGTTGACAAGTGAGACCATCACACCACTAACAGAGATATAGATGTCGTGGGTGAGTCCGGCACATACAAAGAGATACAAATTCCATTACAAGTTAACATTACAACTGTTAAACAGTTTTCACCAACATGAACCGTGTTTGAATAATGAAAGAAAATACAGATTTTACTATTTAAACTTCAATACACTGTTTATTGAAAACGTGACACACGTACAATTGGCAACTTAGAATTAACGTTTCAAATCGAAATTCGTATTTTCACTGAAATTATTAAACTGGTTGTTATGGTTACATAAAAGTCCAAATAAATTAAACCATATAACAATATTAATATGCAAAATTATGTCAACAAATCATATAATATAATTATATTTGCATATTTATAATCATGTATTTAGATTCATAACGTTTGCACGTGACAATGTGGAAAGAAATTATTGCTAAGGAGATTGAACCGATAAGTGTGCGATGTTATTAGATATGTATATACTTGTTGAAGTTTCTGTGTCGATAGAAATGTGTGTGTATATCTGATCGTATCAGTATCTCAGGTAGCAGATTCTATGTGACGCGTGTCCTCCATTTACGTGATATTACGTCATGTCTTTTTGGAGGTACATGTATAATGATTTCAGTGTTTGTGTTGAATTGTACGAAACACTTTGCAATACTGTATTTAAAAAAAAATGTTCTCGAACATTATATCCTGCACCTACTGTTTACCTAGATATGACAGGTTTCAGTCTTTCAGGGAATCAATTGTTAATCTAAATATTCGGGTATTTATTAATGCATTTTGCTATATGGTGTGAGTACTTAAAAAAGAAACGTGTATATTGATATTTTATGCAAAGATTTTGATGTTGTTTTTTATTATGTACATAGAATAAGCGATATGTAACTACTACTTTGTCGGTGAAAGTAAAATTCGTTGCTATGCGTCCGTGGCAACCTGGCTACAATCTAATTTATCATCGTGTATATTAGCTAATGTGTGATCCTGCGACAAATCTACGTATCGAATGACAGTAAGTCTACATTGGTTATAGCAGAATGAATAAAAAAGTAACCAATTCTGTAATTTGCACCCTCTGTGGTTTCAACAGATGGAAGAGACCAAGTTTACAGCGTCTATACTTTTTATTCAGTTTTAGTCGTCTTCCGTCAATAAAATATTCGATATATCCTAAATGACGAACGACTGCACGGAAAGAAAAGTTTAGCTATATGAACGGCATAACTCACAACTGTTTATTTTCAGGAAATCGAAAACTGTCATCGCTAGAGGGCGCTTGAGATCAAAGGTACTAGTATATTAAACTGACCTAATTCAAGTTTCAGCGGTGTGAAGGTTGCTGTTATTTGTTTTACCTTAAATCAGCATGGTTCATATATACAACATAATATCTACATTCCAGAAATGTCAAATCAATGAGATTGTCATAATTTTAAACAATAGTAAACCTATGTACGAACTTTTATTCATTCGAAGATTTGTATCACTATGGGCGGTTAGCCACTTCGAAGGTGGTTGGTTTGATCACAATCGTTAGTATTATAATTATATAATTAGTAATATAATTTTCGATTTTATTTTTATTGACTTATTATTTGTTATAACACTGATCGATTCTTTTCAATGTTAGTGTTCACGAACATGCTTTTGGTCATGATGATTTCAGAGATTTTTTCATGTTTATCTCTTTAAATAATAATAATAATAAATATTATATATCTGTCACGTAACGTCATAAGTTACAGCGTGCCGTAATTTTGTGGTATTTTACGGGGTATTTTCATCCTACCATATTAGGAAACGCGAATTCCAAATCTGGAACAATTTCATGCGTGAGCGTTTTCTAATAATAACAAAAACAAACATGGCCGCTCCGCGCGCGGCCCCAGGGTTGACCCGACCCGACCCCACACAAAGAAATATACTAAATAGGTTCAAAACTTTTTATTTCGGCATTCCCGTGATGCACTCTTGGGAGGAAAAGATGTATAATAATAATGTTATTGTGAGGATACTGCACGTCGCTCGATACTCTTCGTGCGTACTTTGCCGTTTCCTCCTAATAATCTAATAATAATAATAATACTTTCGTTTTACCCTCGAATAAATAAAGCAGCTAATACATAACGCAAAGCAATAGTGTGTGAAAATACATCAAAATTCTTACCCATCAACCTCTTTAATTTTAATAGTAACATTATCAGCTAATTTAATATGTACTAACAAACGCAGACAGAAATGGATACTTGTCACCAAACAAACTACTCTCTGATCGGGAAGCCAATCAGTCAGAATCTTGTAAGTATCTTTGCACTGAGCCCAGATCTGACGCTTTGCGTCAATGCTCTTAGAGTTTTCATTCCAAATCAGCTGTGATCAGCAAAACGAGATTTTACAGAACACGATATCAGGACATGAATGCGAGGGTGATGGAAGGGTAAACCGAATAGTTAAAGGGCGGTAGTCGTCCCGCTGCGCATGTGCGACATTTGTGTTGATAAACATTGATTTTCCCACAATCCAATGCGCTCTTCTAATTGACATCATAAGTAATGTAATTAAAGCTTGGTAACGTCTCAGTTTGTACTCGCTGATCTGCACAACAGTCAAAGTCGCCATCTTTGTTTATATGAGACCCATATATCTCGCGCAAACGACACAATACATTAAATTTCTTAACGTAAAGCAGTAAACAAAAATTGCATATATCTTGTTTACAGAGCGGTAATTTTGTCCACCGTTTACTTTCACGTTGCATTGCACATATGCTCAGGAACATGCTTTAGTGTACTGCTTTCAGCATTCAGTATCCCTCTTTCAGGCATCTTCAATAATGAATTCATTCGCAAATGTGGGTGACCGTTTTATTTTAATTTGTTTGTGAAAATGCAGTCCAGGCTAGTATACCGTGCATACATGGAAAGCCATTTTAAGTCATTAATGGGTGTTTAAATTGTATTTATGAGGGAGGATGCGAGAGCCTTTATCAATACAGTGCTCGATGACGGAGTGTGGAAGGCATATACTGATACAACTCTTTGACATGTTATCTATGTTTCACGTGCACATTAGGCTCTGTAAACTGAATGTACTATATGTGAATTGCAAATCAGCACGATTTTATGAATACTAAGTCTTGTTTCTGCTGTATTAAAAGAAATTGCATGAAAATGTATATAAAGTTCAAAATTGGCGTCTGTACAGTCATGGAATTATTTAGTTACTCGGACGTTCGTATAATTTCGTGTATATTCGAGAAACTTCGCTCACCCTGGAAACCTACGTTTCGCGGGAACATTGCAATCCATATATGGAAATAGTACGCGTATGATATCTTTTAGCCTATTACGGGCTGACTTTGAAGTCACATGATCGAATTATGAGGTCATCTTTATTATTCGCTTAGCTTTTCTTTAGTAAGCGTGTGTTGTAGTTTTGAAGCAGTATGATGCAAAATACAGTTCTTTGCTGTTTTATTCCTAAATAGTGTGTGTGTCTTCATTGACTTCGTCCCAGTTACCATTCCTCGACGGATGGGAGTGTTCTGGTTGCTTGTGGTAGTCAAAGCGAGAATTTTGTTAGTGTTGAACCGGTGCAATCTGATTAAAAGTTGATGTAGTGTACGGGCTTTAATTATTTTGGCTATAAACTTATTTTAATCTTATTTTTTATTACTTTTGTTATTAATGCCCTTTTATCTCATTATTTTACTTTGATTTTGATTTTGTGATTTTTTTTAATTCCGCCCTACCTACATCTGATCCGACGCCTATGTAAGTCCCGTTCAAATCTCGCGTAAGTAACAGCCAATCACAGCCCCCCTTTTATACAGGCTGTCGGTTGCTTACTTTTCAGTGTATACGGGCAATCTTTCTGTACATTATATTTTGCCCACTTGAATAAACCATTAATAGAAAATTGCTAGTATATTTTTATTTGCAAAAGAAATTCCACAGCATTTTACAATTTTTGTCATTACATTGAATATTTTTTTCACTTCCAACAAATGTGTACACTTCCTGATACATCTTCGCCAGCCAAGGTTCGTTTATTCAGTCATCGCTTCAATTTTACATCAAACACTGAGCATAGTTATCTATAATGGAAGCAGAACAATAAGTAAATCTTAATGATTATAACACTGTAAACAGCTACAGTAAATAATGCAAACTGATTTTAAATTGTATAACGGTCACCGACCCACGGCATCGACGCAGAGAATTGGAGCAAAAACAATATTTCCTGATCAATTGCGATGTGTTCCAAATAAAACATATTTTATTTCAGTCCAAATCAGCTCAATTACTTTAATAAAGAGTTATTGTATAATGTACAAAATGTTGATACATTAGTTTTGATGAATATTTACAGCTACGGCTTCAATACCGTAGACGATTTTGGCCCGGTGGTCAACAAAACATCACCCGTCTTCAGGGCAAGCGACTGGAAAAAGACACCGGTGTTCGGTCGTACCGGTGGAAACAAAATCGTCACTCCCAGAATAACTATGCAAAATAACGATCTAAACTCGAACCATTCGTGCCACAATATAAACATAAAAAATGACTTTCGTTGCATTTGACAATGATAAACTTACCGAAAAGCCGCGTTTTTCTCGATCCCTAACGTCGGTATAATCCGCCATTTTATTTGAGTGTGTTTGCCACTTGGCTTTGGCCGGTGACGTCATCATGTGCGCTATAAAAGGTCTTTGATTCGTTGACTAAAATCGTCGATAGTGGGTCTCGTTGAATTGAAAAAACAAATCACAAAATCAAAGTAAAATAAAAAGGCATTAATAACAAAAGTTATAAAAATTAAAATAAGTTATAGCCAAAATAATTAAAGACCGTATACTACATCAGATTTGAATCAGATTGATGTAGTACGTGAGAGTATACATGAGGAAAACTATTTGACATTAACCAAACCTGGCTCTGATTTGAAAAAGCGGCCTGGTATTAAAATTCTTGGTAACAGTGATGGTGACCCTGATCAGCTGTCTGATTTAGTTGGTGTTGTAAAAGGACTACAACAATGTGTAGAAACGCTGGAAAACCGAGATTGTGACTCTCCGAGAGAGGTCACAAGGCGAAAGGTCAAACCAGAGTAAAAGTCAGAAAGTATGTTATGCCAACCAGACAAAAAGCTAGTGATTTAAACACCGACGGACTGGATCAACCCTCAGTCCCAGTAAAGCAAAACAAAGAAAGTGAGCAGACCCGGGAAATCTGTCACAGTAGTGTCTTGGGGAAAATTAGAACACGTTCAATGACCAATAATGAAAACTGGTGTGGTAAAACAAAATTGTTTGCTGATGTAGAGATTCATGGTGTTAAAGGCTGTATTCAAATAGACACTGGGGCTCCCGATTCATTTCTGGCTGAGCATTGGTTTTTGAAAGTACCAGAAACGGAAAGAACACAGCTGCAGGTGGTCAGGGAGCCAGTATGTGCTTTTGGTAATCATAAACAGGAAGTACTTGGTTTCTGCTATATGCATGTCACTTTATGTGGTGAAACGGTTGAAGTACCTATATATATTGTGGAATTGGAATCTTGGGTACTTGATATGTCTACACTAGGTCCGTTAAAATGTAAAAATGATGCATTCAATGGTGTGTTGGAACAGGAAGGTCATATAATCCCATGTTTTGATAGTCCTCAGCACTCAGTATGTCTGAAGCCTTATATATCCAGGATTGTTGTTGATAAAGACTCTGTCATTCCTGCCGGCAGTGAGGCTTTGATTGTTGGTAGAAAAGTAAGAGTCCCAAAACAAGGCGAAATTGGCTTTGCTGAGCGCCCTCTTGTGACAAGAATGGGGAGATCTTGGGTAGTCCCAGAACATAATTACACTGCTTGTGTTATGCCAACTCGCTCTACTGGTAGTTTTGAAAATGGCATTGGGGGTGTGCCATGCTGTTGTATATCCATGGAGTGCTAAGATTCCAATCCGAACACTCAATGTGACTCCCACTGACCAAATACTTGAAGCTGGGACGGCCATCGTACTTCTTAGGGTTGACACGGATAGCGTCTTACCATTCAATCTCCAGCAGGAATCCTTGGCGGATAAGAAGGAAACCATTGTAAATAATCATAGTAATGAAAGTTCTATTAGTACACATTCTAGTACTATTATATCTGATTCCCTCCAGGCAAATTCAGACGATTTTGAAGCTCTTGTGCCGAGTCATCTTAAGGAGCTGTACAGGAAGAGTAGTGTGGGTTTGGATAAAACACAGACACAACAGTTTGTTGATTTGTTGGTGAAATCTTCTGGTATCTTTAGTTGTGATGGTCAGGATTTAGATAAAGTGGATTTGATAAAACATGAGATAGTAGTAGACGGAAAACCAGTGCGACAAGCTTCATACCGTACTCCAATATGGAAACACAGAGATTGAGAGACAGACGAAAGATTTCTTGGATAGGGGATTGAAGAGACTGTCAGCCCTTGGGCCTCTCCAGTAGTCTTGGTCCAGAAAAAAGATCGGACACAAAGACTGTGCATATACTATCATGAACTAAATTCAGTGACTGTCCAGAACAGCTTTCCTCTCCCAAGGATTGACGATGCTTTGGAATCACTCTATGGGTCAAAATGGTTTTCTACATTAGATTTACAATCAGGATATTGGCAAATTGAGCTTGCACCGGAGTCTAAACCATACACTGCCTTTTGTACGAAAACTGGGTATACCAGTGGAAGGTGCTTCCATTTGGCTTGATCAAAGGTGTTAGCACTTTTGAAAGAATTATGGAACGTTGTTTCAGTGGTTTGTCATGGAAAATCTTAATCTTGTATCTGGATGACATTATTGTATTTGCCAGAACGTTTGAGGAGGAGTTGAAACGGTTAGAATTAGTTTTTGATCGGCTACAACAGACGGTTAAAAATAAAACCTAACTAATGTGTGCTGTTTGCCTCTGTAGTTGAATTTTTGGGTCACAGAATTTCGGAATATGGGGTTGAGGCAGATCCTGGAAAGGTGGACGTAATGCGGCATTGGCCTACACCCAGTTATGTGACAGAGGTTCGTTCTTTCATTGGTTTGGCCTCATACTACAAATGTTTTGTCAGGGGGCTCGCAGAACTAGCACGACCCTTGCATGAGTTAACGAAGAAGAATGTTGTCTTTGATTGGACAATGCAATGTCAAAATGCCTTTGATAGTCTGAAGGATGCTTTGACATCTGCTCCCATTTTGGCATTTCCATATGAAGACGAAACTTTTATACTAGATATCAATGCTAGTGGTTGTGGCATTGGTGCTGTTTTGTCCCAGATACAGAACGGGAAGGAATGGCCCATTGGGTATGCTGGTCGGGCTTTGTCAGCTGCAGAGCGCAGATATTGTGTGACCAGAAGAGAGTTGCTTGCAGTTGTAAATTATATTATACTATCGCCATTATTTGTTAGGAAGAAGGTTCACACTTCGAACAGATCATGCTTCTTTAACATGGTTAATGCGATTCAAAAATCCCGAGGGTCAGCTGGCTCGCTGGATTGAATTATTGCAACAATTTGATTTCACCATTGTCTATAGGCCGGGCAAACGTCATGGCAATGTATATGCATTAAGTAGAGCACCTACTTATAGATGTAAACAATGTGGTCAGATGCATGCTAGTACTAGTGTCTCTAAATGTGATCCAGATTCGGATAATGAATCTAGTCAGAAAGCTCCCTCATTTAACCCATTAGCTTCTGAATATGTACCGGTTGGTCAGGATGTTGTAGGAGTTGGTAGTACTGATGGGTTACCCCCTGGACGGGTGATGACGGTATGTCGAGATAAATCCAAGCAGGGAGGTGTCGCATACGACTTATTTACCACTTCCGTGTCACTGAGAATGTTCTAGAACCGTACTGTGTCTGGGTGGAATATTCTAGATTTTTTTTAGAAACTGGTTGAATAGGTATTAGAACAATAGGTATTAGGGGGCAATAGAAGGTAATTTGAAATTTGTAGTAAATTCCAGACTCATTATGTATGCTGATGTAATGGTCTATTTATAGACAGTGGGGGTATATATAGGGGAGTTGTTCAGCACTGATTTCAGATCGGATATCTCGTTGAATGGTATTGGAGTTTAAGTATCTAGTCATTGGAGTAGTGGAGTTTTACCGCGTTATTGTACTTGATGTTTGCAGAGTATAATAATACCAGTACCAGTTGAAACCTCATCTGTTGGCTCCGTGTTCGTATTTTATCATTGCCGCCAGGGAAGTCTTTCTGTTACTGTTGCCATTTTGGTATTTGAACCATCACACCTGTACTATAATAATTACGGTAATATTACGTTGCGTGTGACAGGAGGTGAGACGAATGGGCAGTCAGATGTTGGTATTTTGGTGCAATACTCGAAATGGACCCACACTGAACTCCAGGAGAAACAGCATCAGGAGGCTGGTGTGAGCACTTTAATTTCTGCCGTTGAGCATGCTATGCAAAGACCTGCGTGGGAGGGAATTTCTGCATTTTCTCCTGAGGTAAAAGTGTGCTGGTCTTCATTTGATCATCTTTGTGTCAGGAATGGTGTTCTGTATAGATTGTTTGAAAGTGCTGATGATACACAAGTGACCTGGCAGCTGTATTTGCCCCTAGACTGTAGACAGCAGGTGTTGCATGGGCTGCACACAGCTAAAGCAGGTGGACATCTGGGAATGGATAAATCCCTCACTAAGCTGAGACAGCGGTACTTCTGGTATGGAATGACATCTGATATCAGAGCATATATCAAGTCGTGTGATGTATGTGCAGGTTGCCAGGCCACAAAAACGTAAGAGAGCGCCCTTACAATCCTACCTGGTTGGCTACCCGATGGAAAGGACAGCAATTGGCATCCTTGGTCCTTTCACGTAAAGTTTTGATGGTAACAAGTGTTTTGCTGACTACTTTAGTAAGTGATTGGAATGCATTCCAGTGAATGATGAGAAGGCAACAACAGTGGCTAAAGCACTGGTTGATAATGTGTTCACTAGGATTGGTATGCCTCGAGAGATTCATTTTGATAGGGGTAGATATTTTATATCCACGGTTTTCAAGGAAGTATGTCAGGTATTGGACATTTCTAAGACCTACACTACACCAAGCCACCCTCAAAGTGATGGTTTGGTTGAAAGACATGAAGGTTATATATTGTTGGATCGATTAAGACTTATCTTGATCAATTGGCACAACAACAGGACTGGGATCAGTATTTACCCTATATCAGCATGGCTTATAGATCATCTGTGCATTCCTCTACAGGTGAAACTCCTAATTTGTTAATGCTTGGCAGAGAGGTATTCTTGCCAGTGGACTTAATGTTCGAAAGTAATAATCCTGATGCCAGGGCACAGACAGACTATGTGACAGATCTGAAATCTAAGTTGCAGAAAGCGTATGCCTGGGCTAGAGAACAGGTGGCAATAAGTGCCCGTGTCCAGAAGAAACACTACGATCGGCACTTGGACAAACAAGGTTTTCAAGCTGGAGAATTTGTATGGTTGAAGGAAGAAAGAAGGAGAATAGGTTTGAGTCCAAAATTGCAGCTAAACTTTGAAGGGCCTTACTTGGTCATAAGACTTTCAGATGTGGTGTACAGGATTCAAAGAAGCCCTCGCAGTAGGTTTAAGATCTTCCATTATGAGAAGCTGAAGAAATATCAAGGGAAATCGATAGTCTCCTGGTTGAAGCATGTGCCCATGGTTAGCTTGGATCAACGCCTACAAATTGGTTTACCAGAAGAGAATCTGTTGGACGCTGCTGCCATTGTTGAGGAACCGGTAATTGATCCAAAGACAGGTCAGATGGACGAAACTTCCACCTTCATCGGAAACTCATGGTGAGACACCGATGTGTGAACCAGAAAGAGTTGCTGGTGACCATTCAGAATTTGTTGCAACTACTTTCGAGCCAGCAACAGAAACACTTGCAGCCAATATCCAGGTCAATTCAGATTCTGCTGATGATGGAAATTTTAAGGTGGATGTTACTAAGGAGGAGACATGGAGAGATTATAGAACCATCTAATGTTTCACGAAGATATCCAAGAAGAGAGCGTAACCAACTATTATGGATTTGGAATAATCAGAAGAATTAACCTATATGATGATGATGTT